GTATTTGTAGTACTTCCTTCTTATAAGTCTCTGAAGGAGTAACATTCTTTTTGTACTTAGAAAGGCTGTAATCTATGGAAGAGGTTATAAAATGCCATGGGGGTATATGTTTTGGTTTTTTATTTTGTTATTTATTGGTATATCAAAGTCTCGACAGTATTTTATAATATTATTCAACGTGGATGAAATGTTCCTGTATTTTTCTTTTTTAAGTAACATATTTGTAGTATCAGATAGAGGTGACTTGTCCCTGTAGAAGATATGTTTGAAACTCTTAAAAGTGAGATAGTCTCTGATCTCGGGAATGGACAAGAAATTACTTTCATAAAGTAAATTATTAATTGTAGTGGTTCTAAAAGCACCAACAGCTAATCTAATAGCAGAATTCAATATTGTTTTTATTTTATTTAAAAGTGATTTAGGAGCTTTTCCATATATTATTAATCCATATTCCAATTTTGATTTTATTAAAGCATGTACAGTATTTATTAATGAAATCGTACTACAGTTGAATTTATTGCATTATAGACATTTTATTATGTTCAGTCTATTGAATCGTTAAAATCAGTCCAGCGGTTCTTAAGTTATAAGCGTAGTAACTAACACAACTTTCTTTTATATATATAGATATATGTATTGTTTATTTGATGCACCAAATACGATATGTATGTTCGATTGCAACAAAAGTTGGATTGTGTCACTGGATTTGATCAGAATATAAATTTGTCAAACTATATTGAAGTCGGTTTAGAGCTATATCCAAGCTCCCATATATACTTTCCGCCGATATCACATATTGGATGCTCCAAACGCGATATGTATGTCCGTATTCGGACTGAGATTTGGTACCAAAAAAAATTTGCAAAATTATATTGAAATCGGTTGAAGTTTGAGTATGGCTCCCATATATACTTCGGTCGATTTCATGTAAGCACCAAACGCTATATGTATGTCCGATTCCAATGAAATTCAGAATGTGTTGCGTGAAATTGGTTAAGATTTTGATATAGCTCCCACATATATTCTCGGCCGATTTCACATTTTTGATGCACCAAACACGGTACGTACCTCCAGTTTTAAAGAGGTATGGAATGTGTGACGGAATTTGGTGTAAAAGTAAATTTTTCAAATTATATTTAAATCGGTTCAGTATGTTGTTACCTCGCATTCACTGATTGCAATAGAAATGCCACTAAAATTTAAAAGATTGCAGTTTCCTGCACGCCTACTTTTACGGCCACTATTTCGACATATCAAAAATCCTTACATTTGCCAAATAATGAAGATATCGGTTTTAAAATTATTACACGACATGCTGTAGACTTTCCCTCCAATCCTAGATATTTATTTGGGGACTGAGGAACTGACCACGCCTACTTTTTAATCTATATATAAACCAATTGTTGTTCGTTGGTAGTTGAATCAGTTGAGACCGGCTGGGACTATTTGGATATTGTTTTTAAATGTTCGTCCTGTCCCTATTTAGTTTTTATGCTAAGAAAAAGTGACCACGCCCAATTTTGCGTCCATTTTTTTCGATTTATCTAAAATCCTTATATTTGCCAAAATCATGAAGATATATGTTCCACAGTTAGTATACGTAATCTGGCTTCTGGCAGAAGTCCTCTTCGCGGAAAATTTTCAATGTCAATGTTTCGAAGTAGGGCTCATATAAAAGTACCTCCTGATTTTACCTTTTTCGAGGGTTTTGATTATATTTTCGAATCGATTTGACTTAAAATGTGTGTTTAGGCTGGGGGGTAGATTACCATCTTACATGAACCTATTATAAACAGTTAATGTATACTTTTTAATATATATGCTATATTATTTAGGTTTTTAACTCTCAAACTTAAACCTCTTACTGACAAATAGGATAAGGTCTTTTGAAAGACGTATTTATTTCTATTTAATCGAGTCATAATTTATATATTTTATTTATTTTCAATTTTGAATAAAAAATACTTTGCAATGCATCAAAACATCAAAACAGTGCCTAATGGGGATCCAATGGTAGCCAGTTATTTCCGGTATTGATTTCACAATACCGAAAACTTTAAATGTCAAGTTACAGATAATTGGGTAGAAATTGTACAAGAACATGCAAAAGGACGAATTTTTAGTGGTATTATTACCTAAACGAAACTGATATATTCTAATTTCCTAGGAATATTGTAGTTCAAAGATTAACCTAAATATTTCGCCTTTATTGCGATTTCAATGAACGGCCGCATACACAGACAAATATAGTTTAATCGACTTGTAAAAACTAAATACCTTATAACATGATCTTCTAAAAGTTACGAATTCTAAAATTACTTTTGATTTGGAAAATATTGCAAGACCTTTATAATACTGATTATTGAGAATTGATAATTTAATTAAAAACGATGATAGTTAAATTAAAGTCATATTTCTAGGATTTCAATTTAGAAATTACTATCGATTCTGAAGTCCAAAACCACAAAAAATTACTAGATATGAAAATAATCAATCCAATGAGAAATCAAAATGCAAAATTCATTGGGATTGTAATCAGTGAAATACCAAATATGAAGAGCACTGTTATATGCGAACTATACAAAATAGTTGAGCAAATTGAAAATTTAGAAGGAATAGGATTCATATCCTCGGAAAATTCTTCCGAAACCTTAAGAGTAACCTTAACTCACATGTAACGTT